ACAGATTCATATTCGCAACAGCATGAGAACTCTGACATTGATCGCCGGTCTGCATCAAAATAGCATTAGCCAAAACGGATTCGACCGTTGTCAGTTGGGTGTAGCTAGCATTAGCATCATCGTGTCAACAACATAATTCTTTGTGACCTACCCTGCAAGCGCCATCTTTGGGGACAGAAGAATAGAGTGTATTTGAGAGAAATCCACTATAATCAGAAGAACCGGGCTACTCAGTCGGTACAATGTCTCATTTAGTACTGAGAGGTCCCGGTCGAGTGAATCGCTTTTACTCCTTTCGAGGTTGATGACTCTGTGGGAAAGAAACATGAGACTATACTCGGTGCTTGCCGCACAGCTGCTATCAACTATGCCTTTAACTTAAGGCACTGCTGGCTGATGGAGATTGAGATCAGCACCGCACCATTAACTGCACGAAAAGAAGAGCGCCAGAAACCGCCCATGATTGTTAGAAAGACCGGTCTCCCAGCAGTTACAGACTTTCCTATCCTTTCACTGGAATCACTGACATAATCTAGAATCCAGTCGTCTAAAAAAGAACGACAACACTTGCGATCAGCACTGGTCAACTATACTCAATATTTATTTGCTTCCGCCGGATACCTTCTTACGTGCATTATGATCTTCATCAGAGATTGGAGTTGGGCAGAGCAGGCGATTCAACCACCAGTAAATCATCTTTGTCCTTCCTGTGCTTAGCGCTACCCGTCAGCAGCCATGAGGCGGCGCACAGCTGCACCTGGAGACATAGCAAGACATTTCTCAGCATTTTGTAGGGCTGACCAAAGACTAGGAGCCTACACCTGAGACCGCACCAAACTATCACACCCTACACCTCACTAAGCTATGCTTAAAACTTAGCTTTCGCAAGCAGTTAAGTTAATTCGCTGTCACCAGGAATGAAAACTGAAAAACTGTCAGATTTAGAGGATCAGTAGCCTGAAAATTTGTCCTTCGCGTATGGATTCTTTTAGCTATGTAGTTCAAAACTTGCCAGCAAATGAGTCTGATGCACACTCAGATTCAGTGCGCGATCAGATCGTCTTAAAATTAAGCATAAGTTTACGGCTCAAATACTCTACTTATTTTCCGTTAATCATCATCAGGTGAGTTAAAGCAACCTGTAGCTGTAATGATGTATGCGCGTGGTCGTAAGGTGTCGCGCCGACATGAACACAGCCAAGCAACATGATATTTCAATTATTAGTAAGTCACTGTCTTACAACTAGTTTTTCGATTGGTTACATCGAGGCAGAATGAAGAAAATCCCTTCTTCAAGGAGTTAACAGTCGATAAGAAACATTTTACGTCGCGGATGGGAAATGAATCAGCTGCCTACAAAGCGAAGCCCAAACTAGTTTCCAAGGACCCCCGTCATTGTGGGTCTCAATTTCAAATGTGTGGGGAACCATTCTAAGAAAGTGAGCTCGTAAATTAATGTCTTGAAAGCCGCAATCAAAAAACTGCAATGTATTCTCCTGGGAAAAAATGAATTTTACAGGTCCCTGATACAACAAACAATGATCTGTGGACGACAGCTGCAATATGGGATCATGACATGGTCCTGCCAAAAATTATGAAATAATAATGATAAGATATTCATGGTAACGCTTTCAGATGTATCCGCTTCAAACGACAGTAGAGTGGATTCAGCCATTTGGTAGCTGCGCATATACCATCAAGGTAAAGTTAAAATGAAAAACTACTGTAAGAAATTAAAGTAATAAAGATAAGTCTCGGCACCTTCCAATTCGCAAGGAACATCATATGCCTACGAAAAACTACTCAGAAATACCCGGTTGACTAGAGACTGCAATGCGGTTTGCAGGCAATCACTTGGACGATTCATCAAAGCTGTGAAACAGGCTCGCAAAGCATTTTTCAGCTCTTCATCATTCACGTTCTTGCTGCTAGCAACCCTGCTGAACTTTTCATAGCATTCATCGCCGATCACACTCCGCAGCTCTTTGACGTCTAAAATAATGCGACGATCGAAATAATAACCGTTAATGATGGATAATTTAAGACACATTTTAGAAATTCAAACGTCTTTTCAAGAGGTCAGTTGTATTCAGATAACCTAAAACTCTGCGGTCGGTCCCAAGATCCGATGAAAAAGGAGAAGGATTCGGAAAGGTCGAGAGAATACCGTCAAACTTAGCCATGCCCATCATGATATTGCCGTTATCAAACGCCATGCCAGATCGGTCGTCGCCAAGGTTATTATGGGGGTGCGCAGGCTCTTGAGCAACTGAGGCGGCTGCGAAAAGTCAGCAGTCAGAATCCGTTTCACGTCTTCTGACAAGTTGGGGCATAGCAACACGGCGATAGCTACCGCAGATCGACAAGAATATGATGAAGAATATCAAGCAAAAGTAAGAGCGATGAACCATACCATCAAAGTTTTGAAGTATCTCTTGAAGTGGACGGAAACTGCATAACATTTCGAACGACGTCAACGCAATAGCCATTTCTGGTTTATGGTTAGGGTCTGGATAGTTTTTCGGGTCTCGCTCGTGAAGACGACAAGCTTCAGCCTGCAAACGACTGCTAAACAACATCAGACAAATTGCTAGAACCGAAAACGGTACCTTATCTGGGTGTGCCTGAATCGACAACGCTTTGTTGACGGACAGAACTTTGAAGAGGAACGGTAGCTGGACTTCTGAATCTGGCTCCTTCACGAGGTTCTGCATTTTGTCGCCGAGAACGTGCGGATTCTTTCTTAGCCAAACGGACAGCAGTTGGTCGGTGCCAAAAATTTTCGAGGCGCCTTTTTCGTGAGTTCCCATCCATAACTAAAAAACACTTCCGATACAAACAGCGAGGCAATGGCACCAAAGCGTTACTTCCGCGTATGGTTTAGACTGGTTAATCGGCTCGGAACCTTGCATGGAACACATTCGTCCGACGATGCTGGTCTCACCGGGCTTGCCCCATTCGTAGTTCTGAGAAGCGCAAGACAGTCGGATCATCACTGGACACCGGAAATGTAAACTCTTGCTATACAAGTAGGAAGCTTTTT